CCGAAACCGAAACCAACCGCATTGCAGTCATAAAACATTTGCAACAGCGGCGACTACAAAGCGGCCGAAATTGCAACAAATTGCAACTGGTGCAACGACTACAACATCCTGGCCAACAAAGGCCCCTAAAATGTGCTTACCTATGTGGAAGAGATACTCTCCGCCATCCCATTCGCCAGTTACATAGTTGCAATTCCTATTTATAAACAACAGAAACTAAGGGCAAGCCTGGGGGAAGCACTCTGAAAAAAAAAATAAGCCGCACTCTGGAGGATTGTCTGGCGGGTGGTTACCATCTGATTGCTGGGATTTTTTATGTCCTGCATTTGGTAACCGAAAACGTGTATCTGAGGGTGGTTCCAGAGATTGGAACAAGTTTATTACAAATCCCGGCACATAAACACTGCCCAAGGTGAGCAAGACTGCAGAGATGCAGGGCACGGATACGGATAATGGTGGAAAGTTATGCCAGGCAGGGCAGGCATGCTGATGCTGAAGGGATTCGGAATCCGATGCCGGAAATGAAGGAAGCCGAAGGGTCTAAATGCATTACGGAAAATCGATTATGTGCCGGATGGCAGCTGGAACTGCTCTCGCCTGGCCATTAATCAGTCAGGCATTACTTAGCCAGAAATAGGAACTGAACTGAAGCGTACTATGCGGGCGGTGCCACGCCTCACGCCCTACGCCCCCTTTTGACCGGCTAATGGGGGCATTTAAAAGCTTTCAACCCCCAGTGAGCAATGTGCCCCGGCCACGCCACAAAGGCCACAGATATGGCACTGAATACTGACTACTGACTACCGACTGCGGATTGCAGCGTCAAATGCGCGCTCCTTAAACGCCAATCCTTTAATAAGTCGGCCACACCCAGTCACACGCTGCTGGTCCCCAAGTGCCGTGCATTTTCACCGATTGAATAGTTCAATCAATTAGTTAATTGCAGTTCTGTTCGAGCGGAGTGCACTGCACAAATCGAGGCACTTAGCAGCGGTCATTAGCAGGGCGACTCCTGCTACGGTTACGGATGTGGATGTGGGGGCGATGTGATTGCCAGGAAGGAGCCGAGCTTGCCAGGAAACCAGATAGCTGGGAATGAAACTGGCCAACTCGTAATCCGAGGGGCTGACACCTTACCTAACCTAACCACGTATCCACAGAGAAGAAACGGGGTTAAATATCAAAGCCAAAGATTTGATTAGTTATTAGTTTAAAAGATTAATATGTGACTTTCTCTAAAACTGATACTAAGGTTACTGAGTCCAAAAAGAGATGTTATTATACAATTTTGAACAGTTTATATATATGTTATGTTTATATTCTCGGCAGAGAGACAAATCCAAATGTTTTGGCCATATTTTACTAAATTTGAACCTGGCATAAATTCATAATTTCAAATTCAATCAAATCTACCAATTTAAATTGTATTTTTCCCTGTGCAGCGACAATTAAAAATCCTTTTGCTTTGGCAGGGGACAGCTGTCGAAATGGGACTGCAATTCATTGCCACACATCGCAAGCAGCTGTCCGCCTCCGAGGAGAAAGTGCAAAAGGGGGCGTGGCAGACAAGAAATCGTCGCCCGCGCCCACGCAAACATACACACACAGAGCGCCGGAATGAAGTAGCGGAAAATGAAGTTTTTCCGAGTTACATCAGCAACTCCCAGACAGAGCAAACAAAAACTTTGCAAATTGCAATTCATCGCTCACGCAAACAGAGGGTGAAACGATGGCAGAAGCACTGTGCTCTGTGCTCATAATAGAAAATAAAAGCAAGGCAAGAATCATGTTTTATTTTCCGCTTTCCCCCCACCGCTCACCTCCCATTTTCATTACAAGCCATTCAGACGGCGCACCCTGGATTTTGCTAGCCGTGGCAGCCATTACAGCCCAGCAAAATGGCGGCGGCACCCGGAAGTCGGCTGTTGCTGCTGCCCTCTCTGTCTATCCGCCATGACCCTCTGACTCCCACTCATACTCCCATTGAAACACCCACACCCACACCCACACCAACCTAAACATCGAAGCTTGCTGATGAGAAATGACAGACAATAATGCCGTTAGCCCTGCTTCATCTGCATTTATCATAACTTTTGTGTGTTATTTGCTTTGATGGCGCTGCTTTGGCCCGCGAGCGTTGTTCGTGTTGGCGGGTTCTGTAATCTCTGTTGCTGTAATTGCCAAGTGCGATGCCTGCTGCCTCCTTATCTGTATAATCGCGCTTGGATCTAGAGTTTTGCCTTTCCAAGCTCATAAGTATGCAATGAGTTTTGCTTCAGCTCCTCTTAAGCAGCAGCTTTTAGAAATCAAGCACTATGACCAAGAACTACTAATTACTAAGAGAAATCATAAAAGACCAAGCTAGTTTATAAATATTTTCACATATTTTACCTTCTCCTTCTTCGAAATATTTTTCCTTCAATTCCTTTAATATTCACTTTTTAGTGAATGAAAGAATTCAAGTACCTTTTATAAATCTGAATCAGTAATATAATTTATTATAATAATTCAAGTACCTTTTATAAATCTGAATCAGTAATATAATTTAGTGCATGTTATCTACAGCAGAGAACCACTTTATATGCTTACATTAAACCACTTCATATTGAAGCATGACCATTTTGAATGCAAATTAATTTATGCTGAATCCAAGCTGATTATTTGAGCGGGCTAAAATTGCATCCAACCAAAACTGTAATATACACCGACAGACATACAGCTAAATAAATATTTGATTTGCTTTATTGCATCTGGCCATTGGTAGCTGCATAATTGAACGCCAAATGGGATTAATTGCCAAAGCAAACACGAATCCGGGGCATCGAATTATGAGAATTGTGAATGCGAAGCTATACAATTAATTTTAAAGCTGGGGAATTTTTATTATAAATATGTGTAATAATTATCATCAATCAAGCGATTAATGTCGATCTATTAAATAATGGCTGCTAATTATGTAAACACTTTTTACGCAGGCTTTTGCATCAGCTTTATGGATATGCATCCAATTTGCAGGCCGAGTGCTAAAAATTTTGTTTGACATTTCCACAACTTGTGAATATAAACCATTTCGAGTAGTTTTGCCTTTCGTACGCAGCACGCATACGCATACGCACTGTTGGCCAGCTCTTTTTATATATCGACGTCGACGACTGTGAGTGCAGTTTCCTAAAGTGCTTGCCGAGAGCTCAACGCTTTTTTCACCTAATGCCTGGCACTCAAATTGAAGCTCTCCGGGAGATGCAAACGCATGCCCGCCGGATTGTCCTTGAGCTGTCAGTCCGCCCACAACCAACATTTCCATACTAAAAATGTTTGTCAAGCCGTGCGCCAGAACCCCAACAAAAGGGAATACTCGTCCTGGGCAGAGGGATAGGGCAAATGGTAAATGGCAGGGCAGGATTATATCAGTTTATTTTTTTCTGTTTTTTATTTTGAAAGGTAATGCGTTCATAACGGATTAGGAGCCACCCAGAACGAGGTTTTCCTCGAGCTTCTACAGCTGGGGGCTCAATGCAAACAGTTGCCGGCGATGCACGGATAATTGTTACAATATACAAAATTTTCATTTAGTTTATTTACCCAGCGATAACATGTCAGTACAACAGCAACATCAGCACACAGCCACGCCCGTAGCTCACAATGGGCAAAAAGTATCTTATTAGAAGTAATATATTTATGTTTTAGAAGAGAAGAAAATATAGACTCAGGTTGGAGAGGTATTTAAAAAAAATTGTTTAACTTAAGTGAACGTCAAACTAAAACTCCTTTTTTTGTATCCCCCAAATGTGAACACTATACCATTACATACAACTATTTATTAGACTTATATACAGCTTCAACGGTCTAATAGATAACGAGGCTCCTAAAATATTCAGCTTTTTCAAAATTTTCAATTTTTTTCACACTTTTCAATTTATACCAACAAATTGTACTTTTGCCCATAGTGCGGATTTGTGAGTGTTTGTTTGCAGGAAGTTTTGTGTATTTATTTGACTTATGTGACGTTGTAAACGAGGGAGCACGAGTTTGTACGAATGTTAGGGTTGGTTGTTATTTAAAATGCAGACATGTGTAGCCCATAGCTGCTGTTATTGCTGCTGGTGCGCCATTAAAATCTCAGCAACATTGTTAATGAACTTTTAATGACTTTTTGTGAGTACACACACTAAAACAATGTCAACTTTGGCCCCGACTACATGCAACACAAATCTGAGGGCTTCGGTTCTGGTTTTTCAGTATAGAAATCAGCGTGAAATCCAAATTTAAAACAAACTTTTTTGACACAAGGGGACAACAGTCGCATTGCAGCAACAGTGGCAAGTGCAACAGCAACAGCAACAGCCACACTATTAATATGCCAAACTTGGAGTGGCTGAAAAGCCCGAGGCCCGGCAACTTGTTTACAGAGAGCCCCGTTGGGCGTGTGGGTGCGAACGTGCGCAGTGCATCTTGATTAACAAATCAACTGGAATTGGAATGCGATTGCATGCGATTCATCAGTAATCGGAAATCTTGGCTGCGGGCCAAATGGAGTCACTACCATCAATTCTGTTACCCCGGAAGCTGTGCGAAGCACTTTCGATTTAAGGCAAATAAATCCATCAGCCAGGGGGAATCGCCAGCAAATGAGCCTTTAAGTGGGTTCACATGTACTGACACATTTGCCCACGCAAAAAAAAAATTATTTAACTAAATTAAAAATTTTGTATTTAATCATTTGGGCTAACGATTCGGAGACACCCGAAAAAACCATTATTAGAATTTTGTGATAAACCATACAACTGTTCACACTCTATTTAATGCAAGTCATATGCATAAAAATTAGATAAGCCACCAAAAAGTAAGCAAATGCTTCTGATAAAACACTTTTACAGGCAAAACCGCGAGATTAGAAAATAAGGTTTAGCTTTCTGTTCTACTTTATTGTCATGCCCTCTCTTTCTCTCGCTTATCGCTGATATTTAAACGCGCGCTTCTCACCACAAACGCACACTCGTCGACGATCCAGTGTTGAGAAAGGTGAGTGCGTGCACCCTGGCGTGGTGAACTGTGGATCAGCTGATTGAATTTCTTTGTTTGGACAAACAATTTAATTGACCAATTATCAACCGGCTAAATTCGTGTTTACACAGATCAAAATGAGTACCGCCAAGTGGGAAAGCAATGAGGAGATCAAGATCTTTCGCGAATACCTTCGCATACCAACGGTGCATCCGAATGTGGATTACAGTGAGTTTTAGTGGTCTTTATCTATATGAGGCTGCGATAAGAACGCCAATCTTAATGACCGGGCCATTAATTGTGTCTGCTATTTATAGCCGCCTGTGTGGAATTCTTGAAGCGGCAGGCGGCCAGCTTGGACCTGCCCGTGGAGGTTATCTATCCGGTCAACCAGCAGAATCCTGTGGTGGTGCTGAAGTGGCAGGGATCTCAGCCCGAACTGCCCTCCATTATCCTTAATTCGCACACGGATGTGGTGCCCGTTTTTGAGGAGAAGTGGACTCACGGTCCCTTTAGCGCGGATCTGGATGCAGAAGGTCGAATCTTTGCCAGGGGATCGCAGGACATGAAGTGCGTGGGCACCCAGTATCTGGGAGCAGTTCGAGCCCTCAAGGCCACCGGATACCAGCCCAAACGGACCATCTATCTCACCTACGTTCCAGATGAGGAGGTGGGCGGTCATCTCGGAATGCGGGAGATGGTCAAGAGCGACTACTTCAAGAAGCTCAACGTGGGATTCAGTTTCGACGAGGGCATCTCCAGCGAGGACGACACTTACGCCTTGTACTATGCGGAAAGGACTCTGTGGCGTGAATATACTTTAGAAAATTGGATAAAGACTGTTGCAATTTGCAATTAATTTTATTTCCTTACACTCCACCACAGATCTCCATTTCAAGTTCAGTGGAACTGCTGGACACGGATCTCTGTTGCTGCCCAATACGGCTGGCGAGAAACTGAACTATGTGGTGGCCAAGATGATGGAGTTCCGTAAATCACAGGTACAGAAACTGGCGGACGACTCTTCCCTCGCAATTGGCGATGTGACCACCGTGAATCTCACCCAACTGAGGGGCGGAGTGCAGAGCAACGTGGTGCCTCCGCTGCTCGAAGCTGTCTTTGACATCCGCATTGCCGTCACCGTGGACATCGCTGCCTTTGAGAAGCAGATTCGCGACTGGTGCGAGGAGGCTGGTGGCGGCATTGAGCTGGAGTTCGAGATGAAGAACCCCTTTGTGGAGCCCACAAAGATTGACGCATCCAATCCCTACTGGGTGGCCTTCAAGAAGGCTCTCGACGACCTGTAAGGATGAGGCGCTCACACAAAAGGCATACGTTTGATGTATTTTTCTTGCAGTGGCCTCAAGACACGGGTTCAAGTTTTCCCCGGCGCCACGGACAGTCGCTATGTTCGCTATGCTGGCATTCCAGCTCTGGGCTTCTCGCCGATCAACAACACCCCCATCCTGCTGCATGACCACGATGAATTCCTGAAAGCCGACACCTATTTGCATGGCATTGAGGTCTACAAGAAACTCATTCCCGCTGTGGCCGATGCTTAGTAAATGATTCCAGCACTAAAATAACGAAATTATGCATTTGTGTATTGTTTGGTTCGAAGAACTTTGTTTAAGCATGTCAATAAAATCGTTTTCTAAAAGAACTATGTCAGCTTCACCATTTTGTTAGACTGTGTAAATGATTGGATTAACAAGAAAAGAAGCAGGCTTTGGCAAGTCCAAGCTTATAAGCCCTTGTTGAATTTTATTAGTTTATGTTTATATAAATCTTAGTGTCCTTGAAAACAATAAGATTATGACAATTTTCTATTTGATAAAGTCGTATACAGGCAAGGCTTGAAGAGGCCGTGTACCTTTAAGATACATTGTTGAGACCATAATAGATAACAGAAGTTGAAAAACGCAAGCTGCAGGCTTTCTTATCAAGTAGTTAAAAGTCAACAGCTGATAATGCCATAAAATCAAACCACGTCGCGGATTAGAAGTCAGTCTGTTTGCAACAGCAGGTCACTCAACTCAAAATGGAGAACGCAGAGCATTGGGATAATGACGAGGAAATTAAAATATTCCAGGAGTATTTACGTATTCCCACGGTTCATCCGGATATCGACTATAGTGAGGATTGATTTACACGGCCTGGATTTGTTTACATCCGAATTCCCTTTGCAGCTGCGTGCGTCGAGTTTCTGAAGCAGCAGGCTGCCAAACTGAACCTGCCGGTGGATGTGATCCATCCCGTGCTGCCATCCAAACCGGTGGTGATTATGAAGTGGCTGGGCAAGAGACCCGAGCTGCCATCTATTTTATTGAACTCGCACATGGACGTGGTTCCCGTGTTTGCCGAGAACTGGACCTATGACCCCTTTGGTGCCAGCATGGACGCCGAGGGCCGGATTTATGCACGTGGCACGCAGGACATGAAGTCCGTGGGATGTCAGTATCTGGCTGCCATTCGTGCCCTGAGGTCCAGTGGTTATCAGCCCAAGAGGACTGTGTATCTGACGTATGTGCCCGACGAGGAAACTGGCGGCGACATGGGCATGGCCGAATTCGTGAAAGGCGATTACTTCAGAGCCATGAATGTGGGTTTCTGCCTGGACGAGGGCATCGCCAGTGAAGATGAGTCCTATCCTGTCTTCTATGCAGAGCGCACATTGTGGCGTAAGTTCGGCAACATGTGTTATAGTGACTTGATGGCCTTATAATTTCATAGATCTCCGTTTAAAATGCACTGGCACTTCCGGTCATGGATCGCTGCTGCACAAAAACACGGCTGGCGAGAAGTTCCAGTATGTGATGGATAAGCTGATGAAGTTCCGGAAAACACAGGTTCAGCTGCTGGCTGAGGACCCCTCCTTGGACATCGGTGATGTGACCACTCTGAATTTGACTCAACTTACAGGGGGATTGCAAAGCAATGTCGTTCCTTCTGTGCTAGAAGCAGTCTTTGATATTCGCATAGCCATCTCCCAGGACGTGGATCAGCTGGAGGAGCATATTCGCAACTGGGGTGAGGAGGCTGGAGGAGGGCTTGAACTGGATTTCATCCTAAGGTGTCCCTTTGTGGAGACAAAGGTTGACGCTTCCAATCCCTACTGGCTGGCCTTCAAAAAGGGCCTGGATGAACTGTGAGTTTGAAGGGATTATACTCTCCCCGTCTAATGATTGTGCTATTACAGCGGACTGAAAACCCACACTCGAGTTTTCACCGGCGCCACCGATAGCTTCTACGTCCGGCAGCTGGGCATTCCCGCTCTGGGGTTTTCCCCCATCAACAATACTCCTGTGCTGCTGCACAATCACGATGAGCATTTGCGGGCCGACACCTATCTGCACGGTATTCAAGTGTACAGGAAACTTATCCCGGCGGTTGCTGATTCATAGACTGTTCAACTGAAACTCTGCTCTGATGATTCAAAAATGGAAATCAATATGTTTTTATTGGTCTTATCTTTTATGAGTAATGTAATAGTGTCGATGAGTGTAGGGCCAAAATTAGATGTGTAAATGTTCTGATTACTTGAAAGCATATCTGCTAAAATACAAACGAAATGCTAACACTATAAGCAACAATTTTCCTGTAGATTAATTTATTGTGAACTTTGACCCCAAAAAATATCATTCAATTCATTCAAGAATACCACACACATACAAAACCGCATTACCTTGTCAAAAACAAAAACGAAAAAACCATTTTACAAGTAACTTGTAAATATTTTAAGGGTATAACCACATCGGAGAGTCGAATTTCGACGGTATTTATTTGAACTTTATCGAACATTGCTACTGTTTGCTATCAGACATATATTTTGGTAGAATTTTGTGCAAGAATAAGTGCTGTTATCATTTTGTTAACCACAAGCGGTTGATAACACACTCATTACTTGATAAAAAATGAAGGCCATAAAATCATAATCACCTAATACGAAAATTTCCTGTATAAGCTCAATTCGTGCCAACCGTCGAGCATTCGAGTTTGGTAACTGGCAGAGAACACATCGCCCCAAGATGAGCACGGAAAACTGGGAAGACAACGAGGAAATCAAAATATTCCGGGAATACTTGCGTATAGCGACGGTGCAACCAGATGTGGACTACAGTAAGGCTGATCTGGATAATTCTTAGAAACCCCACTCATGTGTGTTACCACTTTTAGCCGAGTGCGTGGAGTTCCTGAAGCGTCAGGCCCACAGCCTGGATCTCCCAGTGGACGTCATACATCCAGTGGAGGGAAAGCCAGTGGTGATCATCAAGTGGCTGGGAACCGAACCGGAACTGCCCTCAATCATCCTAAACTCGCACATGGATGTGGTGCCCGTGTTCCGCGACAAGTGGACCCACGATCCCTTCGCCGCCGACATGGATGAGGAGGGCAGGATCTTTGCCAGGGGCACGCAGGACATGAAGTCGGTGGGCACAGGATACCTGGGGGCCATTCGCCTGCTCAAGGCCAGCGGTGTCCAACCCAAGCGCAATGTGTTCGTGACCTTTGTGCCCGACGAGGAGATCGGCGGAGAGTTGGGCATGCAGGAGTTCGTGAAAACGGAGTACTACAGTAACATGAATGTGGGTTTCAGTCTGGACGAAGGCGGCACCAGCGAAATAGACCTGTTCTATGTGTTCTACGCCGAGCGTATGCGATGGGGTAAGTTGCCCTCATCTCTCAGAGTATAGAGGTAATCAAAATGTATCTCCTTTCGGCAGGACTCAAACTGAACTTCAGCGGAACCTCCGGACACGGTTCGATGCTGCTGCCCAGCACCGCCGGTGTAAAGTTGAACTACGTGCTCAACAAGCTGACGGAGTTCCGCGAATCGCAGGTGCAGCGATTGGCTAGGGATCAGACCATCAACATCGGTGATGTCACCACCATCAATCTCACCCAGCTGAGCGGCGGAGTTCAGAGCAACGTGGTGCCCCCTCACTTTGAGGCGGTCTTCGACATGCGCCTGTCCATCACCCTGGATGTGGTGGCCTTTGAGAAGCAGATCCACGATTGGTGCGAGGAGGCGGGCGGCGGCATTGAGATCTCCTTCGACGAGAAGGAGCCCTATGTGGCACCCACGAAGATCGACGACTCGAACCCTTTCTGGCTGGCCTTCAAGGCTGCCACCGATGAGCTGTGAGTTTAAATTCAATATCTTTTAGTACCTATTTTTATTCATAATATTTTACAGTGGCCTGAAGATCTACCCCATTGTGTGCCCCGGGGCCACAGACAGCAGGAACATTCGGGCGCAGGGCATCCCCGCCTTGGGATTCTCCCCCATCAAAAACACCACCATGCGCATCCATGATCATGACGAATACCTGGGAGCCGATACCTATCTGAAGGGGATTCAAATATACAAGAAAATTTTGGGCAACCTTGCCAAGGTCTGAAAATTAATTCGAAATAATACTTGAGAGCCTTATCAAAATAAAGATTGATCATTTTGTTATAAGTTGATACAAAAATTCGTAGTTTTCTTATCTTATCTGCCCTGAATTAAACGAAAATGTTTTCACAGCGGTTTATCAACGTGTATCTAAAGAAAACACAACTCTATATCCTTATGACAGCAAACAGATAATGGGGATCTATCAAACTGAAATACCTCTTAACGAGGTAAAAAAGTGGTGACGATCGCACCCTAAGTATACAAAATTTCTGATTTAATTTTGTTACGAAAAATAAATATACCTTTGACTAAAATGTTCTCATTCGGACGGCTTCAGCAAGTTATTTAAACTTTTTCGCCAACACAGGCGTTTTCTATCGTATCGTGCCAAATGGGAACATTTTAAAAGTGTATTTATTTAGTCGAATGCTTACACTCTGGGTGAGCATCGTCCCTAGATGTGCTGCCGTTCATAGTGATATCAATGTAGATAAAAAGCTTGAACATTGGGTATCCATTAAAGCTAAAATAATCACTTGATTAGTTTGAAACGAACGTCGTCAATCAGAACTGCAAAAACTTGTCATATTTTTAGGAATTGATGGAGCTATCAAAGTAAATAGACTAACGAGCAAAACTAAATACGATATTATAATAAAAACAAAAATATATGACCGCTTTTTGAACCTCTAAATTTTCTCATCAGGGTATGTTTTAAGTAAAAATTTAAAAAGATTAACCTTTTGTTTTTCGCCGGCGGGTAACCACAAAAAAAGCATTTTCCATTTGGTAGAGCTCCTAAAAAAGTAGTGACATTTTTTGGTAATATAAGAGTGGTATTTGCTGATAAAGCTGTTACTATCGCAACCACATTTGACAATCATTTAAAGGCCTTGACCATAAACTTAAAGCCGACTCTGTGAGACTATAAAATCCCAGGGAATCTCTTATTTAGCTCATTTTCTGTTTATCTCTAACCGAATTAACACTGCTTCAAAATGAGTTCAGAAAAGTGGGAGAACAATGAGGAAATTAAAATATTTCGGGAATACTTGCGTATACCGACCGTACATCCTGATGTTGATTACAGTAAGTTTTAATTTTGTATTGCTTAAAATCTCTAAAAATACGCTTTCTTAAAAACAATAATGTTTTAGCCGCTTGTGTGGAGTTTCTTAAGCGTCAGGCAGGCTCTTTGAATCTTCCTGTGGAGGTGGTCTATCCAGCCGTTCAATCGAAGCCTGTGGTGATCATTAAGTGGCCAGGAACTCAGCCAGAGCTGCCCTCGATTATTCTCAACTCCCACACGGATGTGGTTCCCGTATTTCGTGACAAGTGGACCCACGATCCCTTTGCCGCCGACATGGATGAGAAGGGCAGGATCTTTGCTCGGGGCACGCAGGACATGAAGTCAGTTGGCACTCAGTATCTGGGTGCCATTCGCCTGCTCAAGGCCAGCGGTTTCCAGCCCAAACGAACCTTGTACGTGACCTTTGTTCCCGACGAGGAGATTGGAGGTAGCCTTGGCATGGCGGAGTTCGTTAAAACGGATTACTACAAGCAAATGAATGTGGGATTCAGCCTGGACGAAGGAGCCACCAGCGAGAGTGATGTGCACCATTTGTTCTACGCCGAGCGATTGCGATGGGGTAAGATCCCCTTAGTTGGACTACAAACCGATTAACCATCCTCGCTTACAGGTCTCAAATTGAAAGTCAGTGGAACTTCTGGCCATGGATCGCTGTTGCTGCCCAACACTGCCGGCGTGAAACTCAACTATGTGCTGAATAAGATGACCGACTTCCGCACATCGCAGGTGGAGAGCCTGGCAAAGGATTCTAGCCTCAGCATAGGCGATGTTACCACCGTGAATCTCACCCAATTGAGTGGCGGAGTGCAGAGCAATGTGGTGCCACCGCTTTTCGAGGCGGTCTTCGACATGCGAATCGCCATTACTGTGGATGTGGTTGCTTTCGAGAAGCAGATTCGCGACTGGTGCGAGGAAGCGGGTGGCGGCATTGAGATTGATTTCTTCCAGAAGGAACCTTTTATTGGTCTCACCAAGCTGGATGATTCGAACCCGTACTGGTTAGCTGTTAAAGCCGCGATTGATGAACTGTGAGTACCATTTAAATAGTTACTTGGCGTTAATAATGCCAGAATACCTTCTGTTTTCTAGGGGCTTGAAGATACATCCCATCGTTTGCCCTGGTGCCACCGACAGCCGTTTTATTCGGCAGAAGGGAACCCCTGCAATTGGATTTTCACCCATTATCAACACAACCATGCGAATCCACGACCACGATGAATTTCTACAGGCTGACGTCTACTTTAATGGAATTGAAGTGTACAAGAAGATTATTCGCAATCTGGCACAAGTCTAATAAAACCATATTATATGCAAAGTGAATCGTTATCAGAGGTGGTCTGATTCTTAAAAGTACAGTTCTTTTTTTCGTCGTTAATTTTCTTATCAAAAGTAAAGGGAGCTTTTTACATCTTCCAAGTTTAGAAAGATTAGTTGATTTCACACATTCTGTTGTGTTGCAATGAATAACAATTATTTTTAAAAATTAAGACTAAGCTGAGTTTTTATATTTTAAACTATCGTTTGGATTTTGGTTTAAGAATAAATGATCTTGAACCAGTAATGTATGGTAATTAATGTTATCATTATAAGTCAGCGAAACTATCTATAGAAAAAAAAGTTGATTCCACACTTTGAATACATTTTATTATCATAACCACATAAGATAACCATTTATATAGAGTGATCCATAGATATAAAAAGCCTGCGGGTACCTCAAGACTATTAGTCCCAGTTTATCACTTCAACTGTCTGTGTTCCCATTGCCGAAGAAGACTTCATCCAAAATGAGTGCTGAGAAATGGGAGAACAATGAGGAGATTAAAATATTCCGAGAATATTTGCGTATTCCATCCGTGCACCCAGATATTGACTATAGTAAGGACTTCATTTAACAAGGTTTTACAAGTGTTTTAAGTTAATTATGTGTATAGCTGCCTGTGTGGAATTTATCAAGCGTCAGGCCGACTCCCTTGGTCTTCCCGTAGATGTGGTTTGTCCAGCTGTTAAATCAAAACCTGTGGTGATCGTTAAGTGGCTGGGAAAGCAACCGGAGCTTCCCTCAATCATTCTAAACTCGCACATGGATGTGGTTCCCGTGTTTCCCGAAAAGTGGACTCATGAACCTTTTGGCGCCGAAATCGATAAGGAGGGTAGAATCTTTGCGAGGGGCACTCAGGACATGAAATCGGTTGGCACTCAATATCTGGGTGCCATTCGGATGCTCAAAGCGAGTGGTTTTCAACCGAAAAGGACTGTTCACGTGACCTTTGTTCCCGACGAGGAGATTGGCGGTAGCCTTGGCATGGCAGAGTTTGTTAAAACCGACTTTTACAAGCAAATGAATGTGGGGTTCAGCTTGGACGAAGGAGGCACTAGTGCGAATGATGTTCACCATTTGTTCTATGCCGAGCGTATACGGTGGGGTAAGTAAATTTCACAGCGCTTACGTTAGGGAACTAAGAGCCTTTTCTTTTACTCAGTTCTTAAATTGAAACTTGGTGGAACTGCTGGCCATGGTTCACTGCTATTGCCCAACACCGCCGGAGTAAAGTTGAACTATGTGCTAAACAAGATGACGGAGTTCCGTGAATCGCAGGTTCAGCGACTGATTAACGACAAGAGCGTAAACATCGGCGATGTGACCACGGTGAATCTCACCCAATTGAGTGGTGGAGTGCAGAGCAACGTGGTTCCACCGCTTTTCGAGGCCATCTTCGATATGCGACTGTCCATCACCTTGGATCTGGTTGCCTTCGAGAAGCAAATTCGCGACTGGTGCGAGGAGGCAGGTGGTGGCATTGAGATCGAGTTTACCCAGAAAGAAGCTTATGTGGCACCCACCAAGATGGACGATTCGAACCCCTATTGGATAGCTTTGAAAGCCGCTATTGATGAACTGTGAGTAGAAGTTAGCTCTATTTCTATAAATTTAGTGTATCCTCTTATTTTTTAGAGGACTTAAAATAAAACCGATTGTCTGCTTCGGAGTCACCGACAGTCGATTTATTCGACAACAGGGAACACCTGCAATCGGTTTCTCACCCATCATAAACACTCCAGTACTCATCCATGATCATGATGAATTTTTAAAGGCCGAGGATTATCTAAATGGCATTAAAGTTTACAAGAAGATTATTCGAAATCTTTCTGAAGTCTAACCGATGTTTACTATAGTCGAATAAAAGTGAACTTATGTACCAAAACGATTATGTTTATATCCACCTGATTTATTTAACCTTATCTTAAACTCACAATTTACTAATTATGCTTTACGATACGCAATTTTAAAAGCAGACAATTTACTTATTGCTCGTAATAAATGAATTTACAACTGTTTAGCGAAAGTTGTCTCTGAAGTCTCTGAAGTTTTTGGCAGCCACAACTATGTACCTTTTCTCTAATCGAGTGCGTGAACTTTCTAACGAGTCCTGCCGAAAAATTATCCCTGTCTACTATGTCAATATGGTTGTTGTAATCTTTAAATGATTGTCGAAGGTCATCAACCCCAGCGAATTGTTCATATAACCTACGTTCCCGACCAGGAAATTGCATCGAAACAGGGAGCACAGGCGTTGGTAAGAACCGATTACTTCAAGGAAATTGAACAATGGCTTATGTCTAGACAAAGGTGTGGTCGGTACCAGTGAAACCTTTTACTTTGCCCCATTTTCCCAATAAATTAAGAGAATTTCGGGACTCTGAGCAAACTTTTTTCAAGGCAGATCCTCAAATCCATTTGGGCGTTGTCCTGGTGTTAATGCGGTTTTGGCGGCCCTCGGGCTCTTGCCCATTAACCACACTCCGATTCTGCTGCACAACCACAATGAGTGTGACCAGGCGGTCCCCTACCTGCAGGGCATTGGGATCTACAAGGAACTCATTTCGTTGCTGTACTAAGTGGGCGCCTAGCGCATCCGCCCTGTTTGCCCGCAGAACTAGGTGCTGTCATCGATGTGAAAGCATCGTAGAGCGAATTTGCGAGACACTGCTGCAAAGCGGACGAGACAGGTGGGAGTGAGTTTTGTCAGTTAGTCAAACAAAATAAATTTTAAGGGCCCGTCACCTGCGAGCTAGAGGGGCGTGCGGTCGGTTGTGGGTTAAACTGCTGCATGTCAGTCTCTGCAAATTGTCAGTTGGCCGGCACTTCGGAATGTCTGACATGTGAGTGGTGCCAGGGGCAATAAATTATGCTGGGGCCGCAGAATGAATAATGGCTACGTGTCCCGAGAAGAACCCCCTCTACAACCCCCTTTTTCGACCATTTGTGTCCTGGCTGCAACTGTGACCCTGCGTGCCGATTAGACATGTTAATGCATGTGTCAGGGCAATGAAATATGTATTGATGGCAGTCCAGCGGGAGCCCATGTCCTTTGTGCGGCCCGGAATTATGACAATTTATCAGGCGAATGTCAGTTACGTGGGGTGGCGTTTTTGGGTGGGGTTGGGTGGCACTATTGAAGTGCATTCCAAATGCTTTCCACGCAATTAACACTGACCATTAGTGGCGCCAGTTTGGCATAATGAGTGCAGTCCGGTTCCAGCCCTTTAACGCTCCCGTTACCGCTGGCAACTTAATGCATATAATTTTTACTTTTAATGAGCTGGCGGCAGTTGGCAGCACAGCTCGCTCACCTTTTTTTTCGCCCTCCATCGCCTCCTGTCTGCTCATCGCTGAGTGCACTTAATGCACCAAGTTTTTGCAGACCACCTGCCACGAACCCACTTGAAAGCAAGTTCTGGGCTCTGGGTTCCCTTTTCCACGGCGCTCTGCTTTGCATTTTAAATTTCCGCCAACTCCCATAATGTGTGTGGGAGGGGAAAAAGTTTGGCAACTTTTGCATTTCAATTTTAATTTCTTTGACCCACACTCGATGCAAACTTTAAGTCGAACCTGAGCAAATTCTTAATGGCCCACTCACACTAATTAGGGCCTCCAGAAGTTGGTGCGCCTTTAAAGACTCCTTCATTGCCTCCGGGGTAGAGCTCGAAATTTGAATTTGGCAGCGGACTCGTTTTTTTATTGCCGTCCGAAGTTTATGACGAATAAAACTCAACAATCACAATGAAAAACTCGTTCCTAATTAAATTCAATTTACTTGTGACTGCTGCGGCTCCATGTCCTGAAATGGAAGCCTCACAACATTATGGCCGTGCAATTAAAATCTAAGATTAAACAAGCTTAGACTTGTATCTGTGTTTAGTGTTCTCCTTAAGTACATTTGTGATCTAAATAAAGAGCTCTTATTCTTTGACTTTTTAGAAAATTAATAAAATGGACTATGCTCAAGAACATGAATTTTTTAAGATACTCGAAGAAGCTACTATATTAATATATTAAAGTCTTGCAAGTGACTTTTTGTAAAATAAATTAAAGAAATCCCAATTTATTGTTATTATCTTTAAATAAAAAATGGTATATTTAACATTTTAATTTTAAACAAAATATATACTTATAAAATAGTATGTTCCTATATTATAATTCTCGAAGGGAATTTTAGAGCTACTATTTTGACGTCAGCTGTATTTCGCAACACAAGGACGTATATTTGGCGGGGGACAAAAGTGTTTTTATGCGACACAAAGGCAATTGCCGCAGCACTTGTTCCTAATGTTACTGCTGCACAGTGGGACGAGCAGGTGACCAGGCAGCAGGTTTCTATTGCCACATGAAAATTAATTTTAAATTCAGTAAAAAGAAAAGTAGTGGTAGCTTAAGAACTCGAAGAGTGTGGAGGTTAATATGCCGTAGATCAAAGTCAGGCTGTAGATGAGATCCCATTTACCACTCGGCACACACATTTTTCCATTGTGAGCCATGGCAGGGAGAGCTTTCCGTTTCAGGGATAATAAACGTGGTTTAGAGCCACGTCCTGTTGCGACAGCAGCTGACTGAAAAGTGTCATTAAAGCGCAAGCACGCCCGCCCACACGCACTCACACGCTTAATAAAGTCAATTGAAGTCTCCATGGCGCTTATGTGTGTGCGGCAAATAATTTATTTTGTCGTTAAGCTTAACTCCAGCCATTGCAGAAAAAAGAGAGGCAAACTAATTAACTTGTTTAGCGCCAAAGCTGCGTAATTTCTACGCTCGCAGCTTAAGCTAAAGCGCCACTGCCGCCCCAAACTAATGAGCTCCTGGGTGTGCGGCTAGTGCTCGGTTGTGTGGGTGCGACATTAGAAGCGGGAATCTCCGGCAAAATTCTTCTAAAAAGTTGCGCCTGATTAAGCCCTTGCGGCCATGGGTGAATGTGGGACTTGGCTTGGGTAATGGCTCTCGGGAATTAAGCATCTAGTTTCACATACAGTCTCCAATGCAATACATACATTAAGTTACGAAGAGTTGGCTAAAAAATTAAGTTTTGCGACTAATTGTTTACAATGTATCTTCATACTACAAACTTTCATAACTTAAACAAATTTTAAAAGTTGTAATTCAAAACTTTCAAAGTGAAACTTAAATTCAACATACAGTTGAAATAAAGATTTGCTGATAATTAAAACACTTTTTTTTTGTACAAAATATGGGATAAGAAATGTAAGGCAATGGTTACATTTTTGGGTCACATGTCGCTATCATTGCCGATTCTTCAGTTCCTCAATAGTACATTCTCCAGGTCAGTTTATATAAAGGTACATTTTAATAAGGATTAATAGCGCAATGAAGTAAAAACCTAAAGAGATACTTGGGAATCGGATTCTGATTGGTCATGTATGTGTTTTTGTTTTTAAGTCAATTTATGGATATTATGAAAGAGTTGAAATTTTGTTTTTTAATGATTAAACAAAGTAGGGTAATGAACAGCAATGCAAATTTAAACAAAATAAAATCTTGTACTTATATGAATTCCTTTCTTTTCAAATGAGTCTCCGAATGCTGAAATTTCGACTGCAGCTTCTTTTCTTGCGTTGTCGCTGAACAAACTTTATTGCATACGCGAGGGCGCAGTATGAGACCGTGGCGGAAATGGCATTGCAAGTCAGGCCAAAAGAGGCAACAGCCAGAGAAATGGCGAAGAACATGCAAAAGCAATGCAAACTTGGCTTTCTCCGCCCCCTTCCCGCTGCGCATCAACGATTCGCGACTTGGCGTCGTCTGTGTGGGCCAGCAATTGCAATTTCATTTCCGTTCCCTGGCTTTTTATTCCCTTTTTTGGCCCCTTGTATATTTGCAGTCACCGTTTCGTTTATTTTCGAGAAATAAGTATTTTCGGTGGCTGTTTCAGCTTCTGTTTTAGTTTTTGTTTTTGTTTTGTTTTGGTTCTTTTTTGGCTTTTGCTCAGACTTTCGCACAGATACGGGGAAATTCTTGCATAAACTTTTGCAGCCAGCGAAGAAAGATGGCGGAGTTGGTATCTAATTGAAACGATGCTGAAGAATGTAGTTGGGTGGAGTGGCTGCTGCAGTGTAACAAAGTGCAACAGGAAGTGGGAACGGCGGCAGCTGCAATTGAATTTGCCACGAAAATGCAAAATGAAGCTGGAATAAAAATTTAATTTTCTCTTCCTGCATGATTGGAGTGGAGCAGAGTGTAGAAATGTTGCCCAAAGAGCCTTGAGCTCGGCTTTCTGCCAACAGAAAGTCAATCAACTGAGATTCTGTTGGTTGTCAAAGTTTAGACCTTGCTTTTCTACTTGTCATTGTCTGTTTCCGGATTTCTAAGGCTCCTCGGGCCAGCTAATTGCAACTTGAATGGAAAACTTTTGCAGCTTTTGTACCCAGGCTACATTTTAATACCCGTTTCACTTACAGTGTTTGCTTTGGCCCCCCAAGGCAGTTCGTCATTGACAAACGCTGCGTATACGCAATATTATTTTTTCAACTGTCAGCAGTTAGCCTGCAAAAAACTTTGCCAAGAGCCAACTTTTGGAGCGAGTATAAACTTTCGTTGACAATTTGTCAGGGATTTTTGTCCATTTCTTCGGGATTCAGGTCTTGGGACTCGGTACTCAATGCTGACTTGGCGGAAGAGACAATTTTCTGAATTTGATAACTGGCGGAAAAACTTTCGCCTGTGCTTTTAGTTTTTAAGAACATAATATCCGTCTTGGCTTGAATTCTTGCCGTTCACGTGCCGCCTAATTGCATAATTTGTATGCAGGATTTTGCGGCTGAGTGCAATTTCAGTGGAATAAAAACTTTTATGCTCTGGTCCTTAGTCAACGTTTCGTTTTTGGCTTTTGGTTTCGTTTCGAAGGCCTC